CTGTTGTTTATCTCGCGACCTATCGCTAAGGAATGTGAAAAAAAAGAAGAAAAAGAAGATAGTCGGAAGAGGAGGAGGAGAGAAGAATAAGAAGTAGAAGATGAGGGGGAGGACGACGACGAGAGATGAAGAAGAAGAAGAAGAAGAAAATGAAAAGGGGAGGAGGAGGAGTGAAGAAGTCGTGGAAGAAGAAAAGCAGAAGAGGTATAACTTATAAGAGGAAGAAGAAGAAGAAGAAGAAGAAGAAGAAGAAAAAGATGATGATGAGAGGGGGAGGAGGAGGAGGAGACAAGAGGCGGAAAAATGATCAGCGAAGAAGAATAAGAAAAAGAAGAAGAAGAAATAGATGAGCGGAGCAGTTTTTTTTTTTTTCCTTACCTGTCGTTTATCTCGCAACCTATCGCTAGCGAATGTGAAAAAAAAGAAGAAAAAGAAGATAGTCGGAAGAGGAGGAGGAGGAGAGAAGAATAAGAAGTAGAAGATGAGGGGGAGGACGACGATGAGAGATGAAGAAGAAGAACAATAAGATTAAAAGGGGAGGAGGAGTGAAGAAGTCGTGGACGAAGAAAAGCAGAAGAGGTATAACAGGAGGAAGAAGAAGAAGAAGAAGAAGAAGATGAGAGGGGGAGGAGGAGGAGAGAAGAAGAAGCAGAAAAATGAGCGGAGGAGGAGGAGGGAAGAAGAAGAAGAAGAAGAAGAAGAAGAACAGACCGGCACTCCACGTCGACGGGCGGCACGGGTTGTCGTCATGCAGGAGCACCGGGATCGACGGCGCTGGCAACGGGCGACGGGCGACTCGACGACGACAGGTGAGTGAAGCTCCCAGGCGATGGCGACGAGGGGCAGCTACTTCGATGACGGGCAACTCGACGATGAACGCAGGCGGCTGGAGCAGGTATCGAGCCCCCATTTGGACAGCCAATGTAGGCCGCCTCAGCCAGTCGCTTGTTCAAACGGGGCCTCCGTTTTCCCTCTAAAAACGAACGGCCCTCTGACCTTCGATCATGGATGATCGACGGCCAGAGGGCCGTCCCAAAAAAAAAAAAAAAAAAAAGGCCTCACGGGCCCGACGCGCCGTTTTCTCCGCGTGGTCGGACCCGGTAGGCCCTGGGGAGGCGAAATCTCGCCGACTCAGGGTCGGAAACCCCCCGCCAACAAGGTGTGCTGGGGGGGGGGCCGGCCCCCAACCAGGCTGCCCGCCCGGCCAGGCCGCCTGGGACCTCCCCCGGGCAGGCGTCAGTCGGCCGGGCGGCCCGGATCCGTACACATCATATTAGTATATTACAAAAAATATATATGGAACAGTTTTTTTGAAATTGTGAATCCACTCAACATATAACAAAAATCGCAAGAAACAGGATGCAATATATACAGCACACCATCTGAGACAGAAGTATCCAAATACACAATAGTCAACCGAAATGTCCCAACGCCGGATTCACTATGTGAAAGGCTCTACGCTAGTCGTGCGTCAAAGGCTCCACAGAGACTAGTCTGCCACAGTGCGACTCTATGATATCCACATACATTGGTAAGCTCATCGGTATCATCACACTCATCGGTGTCATCACAAATGTATGCCCAACGCCAAAATCCTCAAGGGTGCATCTAAAAACCCGCGCAAAGCATCTCTCTCTCTCTCTCTCTCTCTCTCTCTCTCTCTCTCTCTCTCTCTCTCTCTCTCTCTCTCTCTCTCTCTCTCTCTCTCGGCATTGGGCCTCTAGTGTGCACAGTAGCTGCTGCGCTTGAGCTCGTCGATCAATGGGTGGTATCCTGGCCGACGGTGTGCCCTCTGCCCATTTGGCCCGAGTTTGTGCCTCTAGTGTGCACAATAGTTTCTGTAATGGGTGGTATCCTGGCCGATGGTGTGCCCTGCCCATTTTTCCCACGTCAGGTCCTCCGTCTGACCTGTTGCCCCCTTCCATCATCTCCGCCTGCCCCCCGCAATGTCGGTATGTAATCCGAGTCCCCCAGATCATCTGTGCCTGCAGTCTCTTCGGGGGCGACATCGGTGCTGTCATCGTGGACGATAAGTACACTGCTGCATCTCTTCTCACCTGGCACTGCGGCCCCTGCCCCTCCCTGCCGACGCGGTGTCACACTCTTTCCAGTCGGGCCTCTTCAGGCGACCAGAAGGCCAACAGGCTGTCACGCAGGGTTAGGATGTCGTTTGCAATAAATAAGATAAACTAAATAGAGCAAATCCCCTCCTGTTGTGTGCGTCCGGCTTAATCTTTTTTTTTGATTCAGAACAGCAAAGATTCTTGCAAGTAATAATCATAAAATTGTGGTGTGTCATGCATTCATCAATTTTGCCAGTTTACTAATTTTGAGAACCGTGACATAATCATCAGAGAAATGCAATCATCAACAACGACAATGCGAGAAACAAGACCGACT